AAGTGCTTCACAAGTTCTATCCAATGGTATCAATAATAGGTTACAGAATAAACTGGATCTATCCAAAAATTCAATGTTTCCTTCTTCCATACATTTAGTACTACTACTACCACAGTGATGGCACTCATCTCTTGACAATATTATAGCAAGTAAAGCCTAAAACCAATGTTTTCCATGAATCATTTTAAATAATAATACAATTAATAGATTATGGCAAAACCCTCCACTATAGTGGAGGAGGCTCATAGTCCAGCAGTGGACTGTAAAGGGCTGTTGATGATGATGATGAATAATACAATTCACGAGTTTATTTTAAGAGTTTATTATTAAATAAAAAAATACACTTCTAATATTGTGTGTCTGGCATACATTTAGTATGGAAGCTGGAAACATTGAATTTTCAGATAGATCCAGTTTATTCTGTAACCTATTATGTACTACTTGAAAGAGCTCATGAAGCACTTTCAGGATCAGAAATCAGTTTTATGATATCTTAACCATTTTTTTAATATCTTGTATAGTTTAGAAATAATCGAGTGAGATCACTTAACGTTTCCACCCTGTATGTTAGACGAAATGCATCCCAAATTCGTGAAGAAGCTTCACCATCTGGAACGACGATGGAAAATGTTCCAGTAACAACACCAGTGATGGAGCTTGANCCAAGTATCTACGGCGTAGACACAACTAAACTTGAAGCTACTGAAGCGGTGAAACATGGGAAGTACGGGGAAGGGGGTGAAACGATGTTTCGCTGACGCCGCCCGGCCTGTGAGACCGCTTGTCACCAGTTAAAGGCTATATCTTCTTCCCTGGAGGTAAATGTCAATGTCATCTCTTCTCTAAATACAGTGTGAGTCACGTTAAAGTGTACATATGAAAATAGATGAAACTAGACCTATTTTTATCGACCAAAAACGAGGACAAAAAATTTTTGAGATTTTTTTTTAATTTTTTATAGATTTTTTTTCTTCCAATTTTTTATTGTAAAGAAAACTTAATAACTTTTAAACTAAGCGGTATATCCTGATTAAATAAAAATAGTAATAATGCTAAATAACAGGCGATACTAAAAAAATACATAAAATACACAAAAAATGCTAACAAATAATAAAAAACGATACTTTAAAAAAAAATCTGCTTATAAATTCGTATTTTTTTGTTTATTTGATAAATTTCTCCAAAAAATGCCCCTATAACAGGTGGTTTTTATTACTTTTTATTATTCTCTATCGTATTATCTTTGTAAAACCAAAAATTGCATGTCTCTATCGGTATCACAACATTTGCTATGATCGTTTGAACAAAGGCCTGCCACAACAATATTCTCCGCTACAGGTAGAGACAATTTTAATTTTAACTAAAATGCTTATTTTACTTCGAAATTTTTTGTTTTTTATTTGAAATCTAACTTGCCTGTATCAAAATTACAAATCTAGAGCCATTTTCAGTTTCGTTGTTAACGAAGCGTTGAATGGCGCGCCCGGAGAGGCTTAGTTCAAACGATCATTGCAAACGTTGTGATAGGGATAGAGACATGCGATTTTTGGTTTTACAAAGCTAATACGATAGAGAATAATACAAAGTAATAAAAACCACTGGTTATAGGGGAATTTTTTGGAGAAATTTATCAAATAACCAAAAAAACACGAATTTTTAAGCAGATTTTTTTCAAAAAGTATCATTTTTTATTATTTGTTGGCCTTTTTTGTGTATTTTATGTATTTTTTTAGTATCGCCTGTTATTAAGCATTATTACTGTTTTTATTTTATCAGGATATACCGCTTAGTTTAAAAGTTATTACGTTTTCTTTACATTAAGTAATTGGAAGATAAAAAATTCTATAATTTTTTTTTAAAAAATCTCAAAAATTTTTTGACCTCTTTTTTGTCGATAAAAATAGGTCTAGTTTCATCTATTTTCATATGTACACTTTAACGTGACTCACACTGTATAATGAGACCGCTTGGACACCGAGTCCACGGCGTGGTAGGGGTGGGGTTGCCCGCTTTTTTGTTTTTTACTACTACTACGCTGAATATTGTGTGCGGATTGGCTTGTCGTACAGGGGTACTACACGGTAAAATATCTCTCTTCGGCGAAAACAGGATAATTCAGATCGAACTTCACTTGGTAAGTTCGTTTGATCATATAATTATCCTGTTTTCGCCTCCGAGATTTATTTTACATATAAGGTGATTATTTTTTTCAAATATCTGCAACTAATAGAGAATCTGTAAAAAAAAAGAAATCTGAGAAAAGTCTACCCAAAAAAAAAAGATTAAAAAAAAATTAAGCCACTACGTCATGAAATTTGAAAAAATCACAAAATTAACGATAACTTCTAAACTACGAAAAATCGTAGAACATACATGGGGGTGAAATCGACAGGTCTAGTCCTCACCTATCACCTGCCTTCGGCTTGACACCTTACAAGAAACACCCTGTATACATTTATTTGTACTTCTATTAACTGTTAAGTACGACTACTGATTGTAAAAAGTTGCCAAGACAGTTGACAGAGCATCCTGTTTATCCAGCACACTGGCTAATTGTGTCAACGTTGACAGCGGCGCAAACCGTAGAAGAATACAATTTACGAGTTTATTTTAAGAGTTTATTATTTAATAAAAAAAACACATTTCTAATATTGTGTATCTGGCATACATTTAGTATGGAAGCTGGAAACATTGAATTTTCAGAAAGATCCAGTTTATTCTGTAACCTATTATTGGTACCGTTTGAAAGAGCTCATGAAGCACTTTCAGGATCAGTATCCAGTTTTGCAATATCTTGTATAGTTTAGAAATAATCGAGTGAGATCACTTAACGTTTCCACCCTGTATAAACGCTATCTAAGTCCACCATCAAGGAACATTTTTTTTTTTTAACAAGTGGGTAATCTCAGAATGTACTCGTGTCGACGGATGCGATTAAGAATANTCTCTTCGGCGAAAACAGGATAATTGAGATCGAACTTCACTTGGTAAGTTCGTTTGATCATATAATTTTGTTTGCTTCATTAAAAGAGTTTTAATTGCAGATTTAATATCACTAGAATTGGTATTTGAAATTATTCATTTCACTTTTTTTTTTAAATATTGGTTGTCATTAGAATTTTCAGTGGTAACAATAAATATTTATCCCATCAAAAACAATACTTGTCAAAAAAACCAAGTCTCGCAACTCAGTTGTTCTACGGTAAAAAGTTGTGAGATCCATGTAATACCAAGTCCAGGCCAGGAAATCTTTAACGTTTTACATAAATTATTGACTTGGCCATCGCACTAAATAATTTAATTTACACGTGTTTTCATGCGATGGCCAAGTCAATATATTTATGTAAAACGTTAAAGATTTCCTGGCCTGGACTTGGTATGTAGAATCAATTAAGTTTTAAATTTTAAAATGTGCTGTCTTGTGAATATTTTATTACATAATTATTATTCTCTGTTTAGATTTATAACTGGCAAGAAATTTTATTTATTAATCAAGGTTATGCATTTTTAAATCGTAATTTCAACTATGTATTAGAAATTAATTTTATCAGAGTGCCTAAGTAAGTGTCGAGCTATTTGCGGTTCACATTCGTCAGCGAATTCCTTCAGGTAGTCATGGTACTGTTACGTTAGTTGGTTTTAAATTTCATCATATCTGTACCAAATAACTCATAAAAGTATTTTTTATGAGCTTATAGCATTTATTTGTATTTTTCAAGACATTAAATTTAAAGTTAAACATCATATTCTCAATTGAAATTTCAAACAGTTTTAATGCTTTAACTTTATTTCTTATCTTTGTAATAAATGTGCAAAAACGCCTACTTATTTTTTTTTACTAAATTCAAATAACTCTAAGACTTATTTACGATAGCAGAGATTTAGTTGTAATTTACAAGAATCTTTTCAAGCTCAATGCACTATATTGAGCAATTTCTACCAGTCAACTTTTCATGTCGCAACTTTTAAGTTCTATTTGAACGAAATTATACATTTTATCCTATTTTTTTTAATTTAATAAATTGTATCGATTTGATATAGCTAAACTACTTCACATTTTAACGAATGACTATTTAAAAAAAAAANCTTTGTCTAGATTTCATTACTTTTTAGAGATAAACAGGCAGCTCCATCGAGACTTGGCTAGTTTTTTACAGAATGTTTTTGGTGGGATAAATCTTTACTATTCAGAGGTATGATTTATTTATAGGTGATCAAAGGAAACTAAAACAATAACTAAACTGGAGTCCACTTTGATCACCCAGGTCATTTATCCATGGGTGATAAAAGGACACCAACTTGTCGCTTCGATTCCAATCGCCAGTGGCGGATTTACCAATAGGCCAAGTAGGCCAGTGCCTAGGGCGGCAGATTTAGAGGGGCGGCAAATTTAGCAATTTTTTTACAGGAAAAAAAAAATATAATTATACGTATACACAATCCATATACAGTGTGAGTCACGTTAAAGTGTACATATGAAAATAGATGAAACTAGACCTATTTTTATCGACAAAAAAGAGGTCAAATTTTTTTTGAGATTTTTTTTTAATTTTCTATCGAATTTTTTTTCTTCCAATTACTTATTGTAAAGAAAACGTAATAACTTTTAAAATAAGCGGTATATCCTGATAAAATAAAAACAGTAATAATGCTAAATAACAGGCAATACTAAAAAAATACATAAAATACACAAAAAAGGCCAACAAATAATAAAAAATGATACTTTTTATAAAAACATCTGCTTAAAAATTCGTGTTTTTTTGGTTATTTGATAAATTTATCCAAAAAATGCCCCTATAACCGGTGGTTTTTATTACTTTGTATTATTCTCTATCGTATTACCTTCGTAAAACCAAAAATCGCATGTCTCTATCCCTATCACAACGTTTGCAATGATTGTTTGNAAAATCAGAAGTGGGATAGGCCTGTGCCCACAAGTACGTTTGATTTCTTGGTCAATTATGCGGAATTTGAACAGCCACTAATTTGTTTTTGTTATAATGCCACGATCATCCCGTTCGCGTGAGAGATCGGACTCCAGTGAAACGTCGCGTCGTAAGGCCAGGCGCACTCGTAGCAAATCGCGCCGAGGCCATAGACATAAACACCGCTCGCGGTCGCGTCGTCCTGCGTCCCGTCATGTTAGATCTCGATCGCGTACCCCCGATAACTCGGTGAAACTGGCGTTAGGTTCGATAATTGCGCGATTAAATGCGATCGAGGAGAGTAACGCGAGCATGTCTCAAACCCAGTTTCCAATTGCTCATGCCAGCACACCTCAACATAATAACGACACTTCGTCAGCCAGTGCCACACAAGCCCTGGCAGACGCACTTATTGCAATAAATCGAGTAAAATCACAAAATTACTATGTGTCAAATTTTGATCCTGCCGTTAATGATTTTGAGGTGTGGTGCGATGAGGTGGAGCGAGCTAGGTTAGCTAACCACTGGGAAGATTCAGAGTGTCTGTCGCGCGTTGCTAATTGTTTAAAAGGGGATGCCAAATTATGGCTAAACGAATGGGCTAATAGTGATCGCTCTTGGTCTAATTTTGTGAAAGAATTTAAGTCGCTTTGTCCTCCCAAAATAGACTACGCTCAAACACTTTTCGATGTCATGAATACTTCTTCTGACAAGTTTTCTACTTACGCTGAATACGCACGACGATCACTATTGCGCCTGCGCATAGTTAAAGGTATTAGTGAGGAACTTATGGTTCAAATAGTGATACGCGGTATTAACGATGCGCAAGTGAGGGCTGCGGCTGCGAACGCCAACCTCACGACAGAAAACTTAGTCTCGTTTTTAGCTATTTATGTCAAGCCTGGCTGTAGCAAAGACAATCGACCTTCTCATAATGTTTTTAGAAAACGAAATACCAACCGTAGTGAAAATAAATGTTTTAACTGCGGCCAGACTGGACATATAAACTCAAACTGCCCTAAAAAGCGTAAGATTCCTGAAACTCAGCCAAAAATAACGTGTAGTTTCTGCAAGAAGCTAGGACATAGGGAGAGTGATTGTTTCGCCAAAGCTCGATCTGAAGGCCAAAATAATAATCAACGCAAAGTCAACTTATGCAAAGAACTTTCTAAGTCAACTAAAAATAATGACGTGTGTACAGCAGTGATACAGGGTATACCGGTAGACGTTTTGATAGACAGCGGGGCTTTGAACGTTTCGTTAATATCTTCGGCGGTTCTTAAACACTTTTCTTGTTCAAAGAAACAAATTGACTGCGTTCTTAAGGGAATAAGTGATAATGAGATTATTGCTCACGAATATGTCACACTCACAGTTGAGTTCAGCAATATCGCTCTGGATATAGATTTTGTGGTAGTACCTGCCTCTTGCATGAATACGCCAATCATTATCGGAACCGACGTCCTAAATAGGGATGGTGTAACTTTTGTGAGGACGAAAGATCAGCAATACTTGACCCATTCATCCAATACGATCTTAAACGTTAACTCTGTTAATATCAAAGAGCCTAATAAGGTCAACACGCCTCTTCAAGGCGAAGAACTGGATTCTTTGATGACCGTAATAAACGATTTCTCTTCGTTTTTGATAACTGGCACGGCTACTACTACGGTAAAAACAGGCAAAATGAAAATAAACTTAACGAGTGAGGTTCCAGTAGCCTATCACCCCTACCGTTTGTCATATCAGGAGAAACTTAAGGTTCGCGATATTGTGAAGGATTTATTGGATAAGAACATAATCAGGGAATCTGACTCCGAGTATGCAAGCCCAATCATTCTGGTTAAAAAGAAGGATGGCACAGACAGGATGTGTGTGGACTTTCGAGCACTCAATCGCATTACTATAAAAGACAGATATCCACTTCCATTGATCGAGGACCACATTGACCGCCTTGGATGCTCGAAATTCTTCACCAGCCTGGACATGGCGTCAGGTTTTCATCAGATACCAATAGATGAAGACTCAATACACAAGACTGGGTTTGTTACTCCGGAGTCACATTATGAGTACGTCAAAATGCCATTCGGACTATGTAATTCACCAACTTAATTATGACAACCGTTTTTATTTAACAAAGTACAAGTATGTACTAATAATTTAAAAGTAAATTAAAAACTGGAAGGGTAAAAATTTGTTTTGATCATCGGTTTTCAATTTACCACAATTCTGATGAAAGAAAATGAGTATGCTCAATGCATAAAATGGGAGCGTAACAATTTTATTTATTTATAAAATATGTTATTCCATTTCAATAGCCCGTAAATTGTATCACCAAGTACAAATTGTAGCCCATAAGTGTATGTTCACATACATCTTCGTATCTCAGTACTAAACTTCCAGATTCGCACTAAGAATCATCTCATTTGACTAAAAGTGCTTGAAAATTTCAGATACCGTAAAAATCACGAAAAATAATATTTGTATTCAATTTTATTCAATCGACAAAGCTAAAAATATATAAATTACACCAAAACTGTTAGATTTTTTTAAAACTTTTTAACAACGTCCCGTACCAGGTGGGGTGTGTGACACCCACACGCACTTTAAAGGCATGTAACTGAGTTGGTAATCACCGCTGGACTGATTTTGCAACGCTGATCGAAGCAGCAGTGTCATAATTCCAGCTACTGAGAAGTTCAAATTCAGCACTTGCAAATTTTTAAAATTGTGGCTATTTTTAAAGGACTGGGGTGTGTCACACCCCACCTCGTACAGCGAGGGTTAAGTTCGTTTAATCATTAATTATACAGTCATAATGTTGGTTAATAAAACGCCTAAACACCGCCACCATTAACTACCCTCATAACGACGTATGTAGGTTTAATAAAGTATATAGATTTTACTTTCAGCAAATATTTAAGCACAAAAAGTGGTACAATTTAATATTTTTATCAGCAATACCTTGTATGGGTACTTCTCATTTACACTCAAATTTGATGGTCACACAATAATAGTTCATAAACGGTTTAAGTTAGAACAATAACTTTGAAATCAGATGATAAAATATCTATTTAGCTACATACAAAATAAATTTTATCGTAATAGAAGCAAAAATAATACGAAAAAATTACATGAAACGATAAAAAACGGGGTCATTTTTCGCGTTCTCATCGTGTCACACCTTCGGTTGCAATGAAACATTTGGTTACTGCATTCACAATTTTCATTCAATTTGTGTGCCTGGAAATAAATGCAATTTACTGGACAAATAGCGTCAACACTAGGATAGGCACTACATTCCAGTGGCAAGTACAATCTGTGGAGGTCTGCGGAAGGTTGGCGTCCGGTCGATCAAGTACCACCTGAAAAGAATACAGTCAGTATTCCCTCATCGTACATACGAAAAGATGGCAACAGTTTTGAATCAGGTTGTTGCATTTTTAAACGTCTGACCATTACGAGTATGTCCTTTTGATTACAATAATCCTTAAAATACATATAAAAACTTGTATCATTCTATAATTGGGGACACACCGATTGTTGCTTACTGCTCCAAAAGACGTATAGATACATACCTTGTCACGCTGGCAATACACGCATAAGCTGATAAATTAACTCATGCGGCTCTGGAAAGTTGAAAATTTATCACGATAACTACGATAACGATTCACTGAAGAGAGAGACAGAATTTAAAATGGATCTTGTACTCATAAAGACCGATAATTTTACCACGTGGTAAGTAATCATTGGGACGAATTTTTGATAAACACACAGTCTTACAGGGGTATTTAGTGCAAAAAGTAGTGGATTGGATACTTAAATGACTGAAACTTAGTTAATTTGTGCTTTGTTAATGACTTAATTACATCTAAATAAATGTATCAATATCGGTATAAAATACAACATCGCCAAAAGTTTCGCAAAATATTAGCAACTAGACTTGCACAAAGATATCTACGTAGAAAATAACGTATCAATTGTTATATATTATAATACGAATAAAAGCTTCGTGGAAGAATTAGGCATCTAGACTTGCACAACATAATGTGCACAAAAGTTTCGTGGAAAAACTACGCAACTGAACTTGCACTACGATACCCACCAAATAATATCCTAAAATAAGTATGCAACAATAGATACGCGTAAATGTTTTTTAAAGTCTTCGTGGAAGATGTATGTAAATATTAATATGCTATTATTCATACGGAACTTTATTAAACAATTAAATGCAAATATATTTCCTTCGTTTTTGCTATGGAAATTTAGATATTTTAATGTTGCAATATTTTACATATTTGTACATAATTTCTTCATTTTTAAGAGAAAAATTATGAAAAATATTGATAATATGTATTACTTCCTTCTCGATTTTTTGGTGATATAAAAAAAATATCGCACAAGTGGACTTGCATACTTCTTCCAGGGGGGGTGCGATATTAATCAAACTTACACTAAAATACCCAAACAACTTGTGAGGGACAATTCCAATTTGATAATATTATTTAAGCAAGACGATATAAATTTGAAACATGTTTATAAATGAAGAACATGTAGGATCTGATATGACATGGACTCAGTTCCGCGAAATGTGCTCTACTGTTTGGAGAAAACCTTACAGTTATGTCGTAATCAACAAAGACTGTGAACGAAATAAGGGATATTATAGAATGGCATTCGATACGTTCATAGTAGTCGACTAACAATGGTGGTGTAACATTCATAAATAGATGTTATATTGGTAATTAATCAGTTTCATTTGTGATTTCATGCTGAGTGGAAACTTATTAATATGATATTTTAAACTATTATGTTGCATTTTTTACTATAAAATTATCACTTCACGGGATTTATTGCAACAATATCTATTTTAACGGTAAATAATATTTAATTATTATTTTTATTATTATTATAATTATTATTATTGTCGGTCTGACTGTACCACTGACGAAAATATTGTGCAAATGCGGGTGGGTGAAGAAAACTCATCGCGCCGGAGCAGACGACGCCGCATCTCTTCAGTCTGCCCGCGACCATGACTCGTGCAACCGAGCCGAAACGTCGGGAGGGTAAATATTATTTACCGTTAAAATAGATATTGTTGCAATAAATCCCGTGAAGTGATAATTTTATTATTAATATGAACAGAAATTTAAAGGAACAAATTGTTTGGATGAGCGTAATTATACATTAAATCATAGTTAAGGGGGCAAAAGGGGAGCAAAGAACAAGTGGACTGTATCTAAATTATTTTGCGGGGTTTTCAATTAAGCGGAGTCTACAAAGAAGTAATGGCGAAAATGGCGGTCGGTACACCTCGTGCAAAATGCTGGAAGTGCCGGGCTGGGCGGGAGAAACAACAATAGGAAACAGCCCGGTGGAAGAAGGAGAGGATTGCACGTACCTTGAGTTCCTGGTTGTCGTAGATGGAGTCGCAAGGGCTTCTTTCCGGTGCCTCGTGGTACCACGCGGTCGAGCAAATGGGCGGCCAGGGTAATCCCTNCTGCCATGTTAAATCTATCCAACAACTGATTAACATAATTCTCCTGGCTCAAAGTAACAGTGCCATTTACTTGGTCAATATTAACATTCATTCCTAAACAATTTTTAATTTGGCCTAAATCTTTAATATTAAATTTTGCTTTTAACTCAGATTTTAAATTATCACAAGTATCTTGACAGTTGTAAAAAATAAAAAAATCATCAACAAATAATGCTATGTAAACTTTGATGTTTCCACTGCATTTCATGAATAAACATGGTTCATACTGAGACTTGGTGTAACCTAACTTTAACAATAATATTTCAACTCTCTGGTACCAAGCTCTGGCCGATTGTTTTAATCCATATATGGCTCTATTTAGTTTTAAAACTTTATTTTCACAATTTGGAATATTAAAATAAGCTGGTACTTCCATGAAAATAGACTCATCCAAAAAGCCGTTCAAAAATGCAGTTGGAACATCCAAGTGAATAGCATTTAGGTTAAGATTAACACTCAAAGCAAATAGTAACCTCAAAGTGGAGTACCTGAGCACTGGTGAAAAGGTTTCCTTAAAGTCTGTACCTGGTTTCTGACTGAACCCCTTTGCCACAAGCCTAGCTCTATATCTCACTTCACTTTCACTATTTAGCTTTTTCTTTAGAACCCACTTGCACTTAACTACTGTTTTNGATGAGGTAGAGGTCTGGGTATTTGGTTTTTTGTAATTCGTGTTCATAAAAAGAACCTAATATCTTTTGTTTGTATTTGTCTTCTATTTGATAAGTTTTAGGATTAGTTCGGTTATCCTTTATAATGCGAAAAATTTCTGTCGACCAATTTGGCGTATACCCTTTATAAAATTCCCCCTTATATTTACTTATACGAACCAAATCACCAACTCGAAATTTAGATCTTTTATTTGTTTTATTTTGATATGATCTGACAATGTTAGCCCGAACTAATGACTCGTTTAATGAAGTTACATCAACAGGTTTACATTTAGTAATTCTGTGTATCGTATTATTATAATGCTGGATGACGGAATCCATATTATTTCCAATCCATTGATATCGTCCACATAAACTAAAAAGTTTGTAAAGATGTGATTTGATTGTTCGTATTACTCGTTCTACTATGGATGCTTTTTTAACAGAAAATGTAGAATAATGGTTTATATTATATTTTTGAGTTAGGTGATTAAAAGTAACATTATAAAACTCAGTACCAAAATCAGTTTGCAAATTTTTGGGGGTTCGTGCTGTGTGAGATAATATATTTTGCATAGCTTTCGTGACACATGTCTTAGACTTTGCTTTTAATGGTCTAACCCATACGTACTTTGAAAACGCATCAATTACTACCAGAACGTATTTAAATCCTTTGTTATATTTTGAATATTTTTGCAAATCTATAAGGTCAGCCTGCCATAAATCGTCTATTTTTTTATGATTGTACATCGGCGGGAAAAGTTCCTTCTTGCTGCTCTGTGAAGTTCGTTGACTATATCTTGTTTACTCATTTTGTAATTGAGTTCTGTTGAATCATGCGATCGATTTCTTTTTTAGTGTAATACAGTGTGAGTCACGTTAAAGTGTACATATGAAAATAAATGAAACTAGACCTATTG